GTCAATTCCGTTGTTATACATCCTTCCGAAATGTCACATTTACAAGAACCTATCAAGTGAATGAAATCTTTTGTTAATTGATTAGTTCGATCACTGCAGCTAGCAGATATTCAACTAAGACACATCTGTGGCATGATAATTCATCCTCCAAAGTCAGATGATTCCTTATCTAAACTGCAAGAAAGCCATAGGTCTGTTTCTCAAAGTGACATGGGTGACAGCAGCAAGATAAAAGTTTTTATCTGCCTTATTCTAACTCAGTGTTTAACCTAAAGAGACCAGTTCCACATACATCTATGGCAACAGTTTGTGAAGAATTCCAGTGTTTGTAACATCGTGGTGTATTAACACTAATCACTCCTGCCAGTGTGGAACATATCGTAGTTTCCAACTAAGCTGATGACTCCCTGTGTGCCAGTTTGTTGAATGGCCTAGTCGCTGCCCTAGAACAACATCGTTAACCTCTACCTGTTCCAGTTGACTTATTCATCATTCTGAATGAAAATCGTTACTGTGAGATACTAGACATTTCTGATACATACCTCTGAGTTGAAGTCGAGAAACTTAAACAGGTAACGCTCATTGCAGCGAGATTAGAGCCACTCTAGCGATTTTTTAACCGATGTCTGAACTGTATCTAGCTCTTCGGAAGAGCTGTAGAATGAAGTGGAGACTGATAACAGATCACGAATGCATGCAGAGAAGTGGGAACTTGCACTATGATCTTTAGAATATCTTGGATTAGTATTTAATAAACCTAACAGAGCATCAGTGGCACAGCGGTTAGGACGCCCGCCGACCATGCACATGGTCCGGGGTTCAATCCCCGGCCGACGAACTCCTTTACCTCACTAAGCCAGAAATAATGCTGGTAAAGAGATAAGGTTGGGCATGAGGCTAGCAATCCCATCCTGTAAAAATAAACACTGCTACAGAAACTTCAAGCCACTAGCTTGAGGCCCTATGTTCCACTGGGAACGTGAAGGAAAAATGAAAAATTATTAAATCTAACACACATCTGACTATCTCACTGAGTTTCAACATCAAACTTTTAACAGAAGTGCAGCAAATCAAGCTGCCACAATCGGCGTAGCATACAGACGTAGAAAACAGGAAAAAATAATTTTAAAAATTATAATCAGTATACTGCACACGATAAAGAATGCTAACATGGAAAAATACTAGGACTTAACTGATATGAGAGATTACAAAGGGTAAATATTTGTGCACCCCTGAGAACGACTTTGAATCATATTATCAGAATTCTGAAGCTGTTGGTTTCTAGCATCCTAAGGACCCTAACTTGCGCAGTTTGCATCTCCTTACCTGGCTCTAAACAACTTTCGAAGACTCTGTGGACTGATGCTAGAATTTTTCAACCTAATCCCATGTCAGCTAATATTGCTCCACTAGGAGGATGATTTCTTAGCATGGGCAGCGTGTGTCCAAGACATCCTAGTCAATGCAGCTTCGCGACCTTATCCGTCTACTCGCCCTCCTTACCCAACACCCTATACCTTACCTTCATATTATACCACCTAACACGATAGATAAAACTGAAACAAATATGATCAAATACCGTTAACCTCTTCATATTTTCCATATCCCACAGACATCTAGAAGGATAGAGAGAACTGCTGTACGGTACACAGGTTCTTGGATCTACAGCTGGATGTCGCAGTTACGTCAAAGAAGCCGGAACGCTTTCACCCAAGCTGAGATTTATTCAGCAATCAGTCCACCAAGAATAGTGCAACTCTTAAAATAAGTGTAATGATCGGCGCACTTGACCATTTCACTCGCCATACTTAAACTAGGAGTCGGTGCAGACCACTCCTAAGCCATCGTCTTACATTTGAATAGGGGGAATCGTAAACCAAACTTACTAAAACTTCTGTCCTGGGTTCAGATGACTGAATTTTGTCAGCGTCGTCATCTGGAAGGATAATATCATGTGCATACTTTAAGTCTAGGAGATTTCCCTTGTAAAAAGTCAGTTCCCTTGTCACTGAGGTCAACGAGCAACACACCCCTTAGAGCATCTGTAATGAGGGTAAATAAAAACGGAGACATTGGGTACACATAATGGGCACCACTGTCTGTCTGTCTGGATTCAACATAGAACTTGGCACCGAAGTGCAGCAGTTCGAGTTGCCACGTTCCAAATAGCACACAGAGGTAGACAAGAAGATGAGTGAAGAGAATCAATAGAGTTTGACAAATATAAGAGTGAAACAGAATGGGTAATTGTAGAAAGGAATATGAAAGATTACAGAGACTGAATACATATGCGCCATTGACAACGATTTTGAGCCATGTCACCTATTGTCTCCAGCCATTGATTCCTAGAGTCCCGAGGGCCCCAACCCTGAAGTCTGCATCTCCCTACCTGACTCAGTTTAACTGTCAAGGATTTCATGGATTGATGAGGCCATGTTTTTGTTTGGCCACCACTGGCTCTTTTCCAGCCTGCACCACCTATATCAGCTAGCAATGCCCGTCGGGGGAGGCGGTGGTTAGGCATGCGCAGCACGTGACCTAGCCATCTTAGTCTATGTAACTTTATAGCCTCGTCGATTGATGGGCACCACTAACTGCTACCATTTCAGATGACAACTTTCTGTAAGCTCTTACGCGGCTGTATAAGTACGACTAAAGTACTTTGATCAATACGGCGCACTTTCTCTGCACTCCCTTCACGACCAGATAGGGCCGCCATACATTCCGGTCAACGGAGTAGAGTCCCACTTTTAGCTCTAAAAATATGACAAGTGTTGGCCGCTTGTATGCCTGTGTTCCACAATCTGCCAAACAGTGAAGATATTGTGGTGAAAGCTGTCTGCTAGCCAAAATTTTAGACAACCAGTTACGTTAATGTTACGTCTCAAATCAGGGTCATGAGAAAAACAATAAAAAAAGCTTAACTTTGAGGGACTCACCAGCTAATCACGGCAAACTTAACGAGTGCAAGTGGGATTCACAGATATATGGCCTAACTTTCTAAGAAACGGCCACAGAGAGATGACAGAATAACCAACCTTCAACAAGAAAACAACCAAGCAGAAGACGTTGCTTCTCTGCTAACAATAAAGAATAATAATGTACATAAAAATCTATAAATATCTCTTGATTTTCCCAATAAACGATTTGTTGCCTGGCCCTTGTCTTCTGTCGTTACAATATAATCAATACACCCTTGTCCGGGTCTGAAGCCTGACTTGCTTCCACGGGTTCTTTTCTCTCGAGACCCATTTAGTCTAAGTAGGATTACTGAGTCTAGGATGCTGCATATTAAGTTAGTTAGGCTGAACCCTATATGATTATCACAGGAAGACTTGTCTCACTTCTTGTACACCTAGACAGTCAATAGTTTGTGCAAGTCCACCGGGACTATCTCCGATACCCACATTTTATTTAAAACTATTTAACCTGGTACAAAATCCAGGTCTGTCTGACTCTCAACGCCCTATCTACTCACAACTCTCCCTTTACATCTCATTAGGTAGGACTAGAAGTCATTATAGAAGATTATATGCTACTCGAAAGGCACCGTTCTGAACCATGATGCTAGTTAGTTACGCTAGCAGCGTCCGTGACATAAAGGAGATGACAGCACCCACAGACGTGCCTTTTTGGGATTTCTCTCTTCATTGGATAATGCTTAACGTCCACTAAATCACTTGCCAGAAATAAATACAACATGAAAAAGGTCAATTCCTGATGGGATTGTGACTGCGCACTGCTTGAAAGCTCCAAAGTGGAATAAAACAGATTTTCAATGGTTCTCTAACTGATGTCGGCTAGTGACAACATCTAACTTAAATTATTAAATCACTATAATTCAACACTTGAAAATTAAACAACAATACTATTAAGATACCGACTGATAGGCAGTACTTTGAGGTAGGAAGCACCAGTCCAATTGATCCTTGTTCCTCTACTACGACTTGTATCTTTATGCGAAATTTGCTCTTCTGAAATGTTATCAGTTAGTGCGCTTGTCCCTCAATTCAGAAAATAAAGTATATAGTTCCATAGTTTCCAAGATGTTAAGAAGCTCGAGAAAGGTTACCTTAAACCTACACTAATATCCTCTTGACAGGATATCTTTCCCAAGGAAAACAACATCTGCAATGGGAGATTATAATCTGATTATTGTTTGAAGAGGACTTTAGAATTACAAGGTATAAGTAGAGGCTGTTTAGCATTTATATATATGACATAAACTGTTCTGTTTAGTGATAACCATTTGTTTTAGGTACTCATTAATACAATGGCATGATCTCTAGGAATACATTCAGGTTATCACATAATTCAAATAGTTTCATTCCATCAAAAAATAACCGTTTTTTATTACAGCTTGATTCCACACCGTATTTTCAGTAAAAGTATGGCATTTTCAGCATATGATATCGGTGGCCCAAATTTCGCAGGCCGACTATAGATATCAAGTATGTTAATATTTTACACATGGTTACGAAGCAAACTTGTTTATCACGCATGAAGTTATATAAGAAAATAGACGTTACTTGAAACTGTTAGGAAAGCAATTTTACGAAATTTCACTATGTAAGGAAGCGTAGTACTGTATGGAACAGGTAATCAATTACTAATTGAAAGATTAAACCCCATTTCATAATTTAATCTTTATTGTCTCTTATTCACCCCATGCATAAATTGCCGAAGTTGACGCCTGCTACTGAGACTACTTTTCACAAAAGAAGTAAGAAATGTGCATCGTTAGATGTTACAAATTGGTTTCGACCGATATTTCAGTGTTTTGACAACCTTATTGAACTGATATATCTTGTCAAATAACTTGGCTAACTCTCATAACGTCTAGAGACGTAATACTAATAATTAGTTGTTTGAAATGCTCAAATACTTTTTGTGAAAGCAACATTCAAATAAATCCTTCTACATCACCAGTTGATTCTGCTGCGCTTACTGTTCTAATCTCCCCAAATAAAATGATATAGAGCATTAGTAATTAAAGCATATATAGATTGAACGAAAACAATTATCTAAGGTAAATACTAGAATTTCACTAGCAGCTTCATAATCTACAGGAGGTTACATCACAATCTAGGCTAGCTTTCAACTCAAATTACCATTGTCGCGCCAGTAAAAACGTCAACTAGCCAAGCTAATTGTAAACATAGTTTGCATACAAATCAAATACTTTATTGAATTACATAGTGAACAGGAGTGATTATGTGGAAATTACGATACAGGAAGTACACCATCCATAATATAAGCATTAAAATACATTTAAAAGAAAAATCATCACCCGTTGTAATTCGTCTTATAAAAAAAAATTTAAAAAAACTGAAATAATCAGCACACACCTTTGTTTGCAAATAAATGTATTTCACAGCCAGTTAGCTAGGGACATGAACAGAATGTGCATAACATGAAAGTATACACATTCAGGCATATAAAAAAATGATCACATCTGACCATTACTAACAATATGAGCTAATGTTTTTGTTCGTTGACCGTCAGACTGAACAAATGTTTTGCCAACTTGTTCGATCAAATTATTATTTTCTGTTGAATGATTACCATTCGCATTTACATCAACATCACGTATCATAAGAGGTGCTGGATCCGTATTGATGACATCAAAAGACTCCTTTACACTATTAGTATTATTATTAACAGGATAACTTTTAGCTGTCAGATTTGCATATTGTTCAGCTTGTTCCATTGTAATAGTCAGTTTGGCTAGTGTGGACTTATACCGAAGTACTTCATCAAACATACGACAACGTTTACGCAAAACGCTTAACTCTGAATCACGGTTGAGTAAATCACGTTCTAAACGTTGAAGTTTGACATTTTGCTTGAAGATTAATTCGTTTAGACTGTTGATTTCAGCTTCACGCTTAACATGCACCTCCTAAGATGAAAAGTAGTAAATAAGATTGAAAAACAGAATTTTATGCACTAATCAAATAAATCGTTTACAACAGAAAAATGAATCGGTGGCCTAAATATGCCTCTTGACTGAAGTCAAAAGTACTAACCACTAGTGTCCAGTTGGTATCCTCCACGTTGCTTAGGTGTTGCACCTGTAAATCGCACAGATCCAACAAACTATGCTGACTGGAATGAGTTTTACAGAAAATCCTAAATTGGCACAAATATCCCCTAAATAGCGTTTTCTAACAAAACATAGCCTATTGCTCAACAAATATGAACAAAATGGAGGTAGATCGTGCATACGCTGAGGTAATCTTCGAATAATATCGCGTGCCAGAGGGAGCCACAAGTGGAACTCGAATGGGGCATCCGAGGGTGACATGGAGATCTTGAGAGGAGGAAATAAGACTATAGGCAATCGTAGGGCCAGTTACTGAGGACGGCAGAAAATAGGACAAGGTGGAGATGTGTTGTTAAAGCCTTATGTTCTACTTGAAACCCAAGGGAATAATAATGATAGTCAAAGCATGATGTGCTTACACAGTGGAATGCAGCCTAAGAGTGAAGTCATATCATCAGCTGAAAGGTGAGTGATGGCAACTATATGTTTCCCTAGGATGATCAGTTAGCAGCCTATGCTGTCTTACTGCTCTGGAATTAGAAAATGTTCGCTTCAAAAACTGAATATCCGGAATTAATCACACCATTGCGTACGAACAGATGTAAGGAAATTAGATTGCCAATAAACACATTGTGACATGCCTAAAACGGTCATCCCCTGAGTTCTGCAATAAAACAGTGATGTACATGCATTCACTATTCGTAGTCTCCTCAATCCATTAAATGCTCATGTTTATCTATGTAATTATTCTTTCTATCATGCATTTTCCTTTTTATTATAGTTCCTCTGGTTTTTTCACTATTTTTGTATGCTACGTGGAGTGTAGCAACTTGAACTGCTGCAATGTGCAAAGTTCTACAATGAAAACTCGGCTAGTCAATCCTTTGTCCGCTCTAGATACTCCAAGAACCCATATTGTTTGGTAAATGAGAAGTACTAGTCGCCAACATTCTTCAATAAGCACAGAAACTCCAAATATAAAGTATAATTATATTTCAATGGTTTACACACAATGATAAGTTTTGATTTTGGTAATCTTTCGAGCAAAATTACTGCCCGTCTTCACACCACCGTTGGAATTGTTTTGTTTTTTTAATTCACACATTTATGATTTGTACTCGTAAATGTAGTTCATTTTTGGTTCATTCATTTTTGTGTATTCAGAATTATATTGGAAGTTGTTGACAGTTGTACTGAGTCACCCGGTGTGACATTAATGAGTATAGATTCTGTTATAAGTCTCTCTTTCCATTTGTTCATATTAGATTTTAGAATATAAACATTGTTCTAATCGATATTGTGGTTTTTGTCCCATGCTTCATTTGATCTATTCCACAATGCTCAAACTTTTTACTGACATTAACTCCATATATGTTCACCTATTTATCCCGACTTTCCCTTTTTCTAAAATTTAATATTTCTCCCTGGACAATTTCTCCACTCCTTAACTCGTTATTAAATCAAACTGGACAAACATTATTCCCCGTTTTTTAAAACGCCATTGCTAATATGATATTGGAGCTTTTAACATCCGAGGTATATATCCATTCGTACAACAGATCTCAAAAGCCAAAACGCTGGTGTCCCAGACTCTTGATATTAGATATCTCCAAAAAAGAATACAATACTTAAGTGTGGGGATAGAATTAAGCTCAAAAGCTTAATCTCAATAGACAGCCAATTGTGCACTGTCCGGCTAAGTGGGTTTGTAAGAACAGACAAAGAATGTAGTGTTCGTCAATGTTCTTCCGTAGTCGATTGATTATGTAGTTCATAAGTAAATGATCAGATTCACGAGCTGTCAAGTTCGCTACATAAGGCAAAACAATCAGTTATAGTCAAACTAAGAGGTAATTTTAATGCTGAAATTGGAAAGCTGAGTCAGTCAAAAAGTATGTTGAGGGTATTCATAGTATCGATTGTCTAAGAACTAACGGCAGTAATCTCTTGTCATTTTATTTAGGCAATCAGCTATTCCTAGCTAAAACTGAATTCAAACATAGGAAGACATTGTTTCTACCTGGAAACCCTCCAGGCTAAAACAGAGAGGGACACAGAACACTGAGGTACAACTCGTCAAAAGAGGATATCGGCCGATGATGACGGAACACTTGCGTAAAGTACAATCAGCATTGTTTTATCCGCACTTTTGCCTGGGGCTGAATAAACGCAGAAAAAATCCAGATGTGAAGCCTTTATGTGTCCAGTTTTTTTATTAAAACATCAGCTGAATATACTTATCACGAAGAAGCCTAACACAATACTCATTACTTTTCTATAGTTTGGTTTGTAAGGGTTTGTTATGCTTTTACGAGTTGATCACGGATTGATATCAGTTGTCCAGTACTCCCTGGTTTTCAATGGTTCTCTAACTGATATCAATCCGTGATCAACTCGTAAAAAAATACTCATTACGCTATATCAACAGTGACCAGAGCTACTAATTTCTGAGGTTTCATTTAAACTAATGGATGTAAGCAAATTAACTGCAGAGGATGTAAAATCTGATTAAATGTAAAAGACTGTGAACAAAGACTGGTGATGAAGTTAAGACAAATGGAAAAATCATCAGTATTTAAGAATGATGGTGATCAGTTGTCATTTATCTAGACTGAGCTGCTAGCATTGCACAGGAATCCAATCGGGTTCCAACGAACTGGTTCAAATATTTCTGTGTCGACCACAGTGGGTGAGGGTAGATAAGTTGACATCCTGAATTACGTGATAATGCGAGTTTTAGGACAATCATAGTGGGGAAAACCAGGTATTTAATTTTCAGACAGAAATGATGTTGCAGTGCTTACACAACTTCGCGCACAGCCATGTTTGAGAAAAGTATAAAGCACGTAATGTTTCTTGACGTGAAGACCGAATTTGACCCTGTTCATCGCTTTCTTGTGTCAATGTATGACTATGAAAGGACCATCTAGAACGAGATGACGAGTAGTGTCCAGCTTGTCACCATTTTAATTCGACTCTAAAATGAATCCACGGATGGATGAGACTCCAGTTGATTTTGACGTTTCATCAAATGATTTATGACCAGAATGCGGTTTCGTTGACTTAAAGCAAGCAAATGATTTGATTCTTAATGTTGAGGACGACAAGATGCAGTATTTCGAAAAGTAGTTCATGCCTATCAAATGTAAGATAATGCTGCAGGACAGGTCTCCATTAACCGTATTATTTCTTTTGTGTAACCAAGGACTTTTTTCACTTCTTGACAATTACAAATAAAGTAGAACAGATGGAAAAGCATATTCTTTCCTTATATAAAAAGCTCGACTATTGGAAAGACCACTTTTAACGAATGACCATTAGCTTTAGGCTAAGCCAACTCTTAGTTAAAGATTAAATGATACGCTTATATAAGTTTTCAATCAATAAAGTATTAGAGATACAGGTGATTGGCTAGAATTATAACCAAATTCGAGCTTTACTCCACTTACTCCAGGCTGAGAACCTGGGTAGTATCATCAGCCCTAACATAATGTGTCGCTGATGACATGTTACACAAAAAATCTCTCCCAAGTAACTGGACTACAAAATGAAATTATTTAATGGATGTCTCAACATCAGTCTGTTGTCAACGATTTGTGGCTACATGCATGAAACAATGGTGTATACATGCTTACGGGCACGATGGGGTGAAGTGAGACTGTGAAGAATCGTTGTCGACAATTTTAAATACCTGACAAAAATGCTCCTTAGAACTGCCTGTTAAGAAAGTCTCTGAACAGTTTCTCCACATCACAAATTATTAATAGTACTATTATTGTTGTAATCAACAAACTTTCAAGACATATGTACTTCGAAAACTTGCAATAAAACTCTTATAAGCCTCTGGTAAAATGACACATTTAAGACCCACTAGTCTTAACTGACTTTTGACAGTTGATCACTGACTGCTAATGTATCATAAGAGCAGAACAGTGATTACTTTGTTGATCATTTGTGGCTTATGCTAGGAAAAATAGCACTGCTAACTGTCAAAAAGAGTTTGACAAGGAATCCTGAATATCTTAGAAGCTAAACAACGCACTAGCAGTTCTAGAAACATTCCCTTATACTTGAAAAACTGATGATTTCTCACAATGTACTACAAATATCTAGTAAACTGTTTAGAACTCCATCATTGGTCTATTTATCAGTCACCATGAAACGTATGTAATTCCAGTAAAAGAAGTATTAACTAAGTAACTATATTTCATATTTGGAACGTTTCTGTTTTAAAAATTTCGGTTTATAAAACTAAAGCCACATCTGCATAAGTAACTTGAAATATAATTAAGATAGCAGTTCACACAGATAAGTCAAAACAGAATACAATACCTGCATAACTGTGTTGAAGTCCTCCTCTTTTCTATTCAGTTCTTTTTCCTTAATTTCCAGTTGTTCTTCTAATTCTTTTATGCGAGTTGTCAAAGCACTGAGATGACGATTGGCCTCCTCAATTTGAGTCTTAGGCTGAGTACCACTGAACCACATCTAAAATAAAAACGTTTTTAGTAGCATTAGTTGATGAATATGCATATATATATATATATATATATATATATATATATATATAATGTAATATGTTTCATTATGTGAACAAATAGGAATAAGTAAGGAAATTATTTTACATAATAACTCATCATATGTAAAGCGATGAACACAATACACTTTAAAAGGAATCACAACAAAATACAGATGACTGTATTTGAACTGGTGGGCTACATCACTTAATATCCGAACAATGAGTATTTTGTCAAATACACCATAAATGGACATCAATACCTTCTCGTGTAATTCGGACTAACAAACACAAAATTGTAAAGACTGATGCCGTTATTTGATCATTCTTAGGTTTTTTCCAACCCTTTTTTACTTCCTTACTTAATTCAATTTTAGATTTCCCCATCGGTTGACTGGACCGAAGTGCTCGGTTGGAATGCGCATCCTGGATTCTACTGCTAGTCAACATCCACCAATTAACTTCTTTTACTTCCGTTTGCGTTTGAGTGCCGAAAGCCCATCACACGGACCATCAACAGTCTTCACTATTAGTTTTATGCTATAATGGATATGAGACCAAGCTTTCTAAGGATGGGTATTACCAACAATCTCATATGCGTGTATATAGTTTTTCCCGAATAGAAACCTCGTATTTTCGTCAAATTTGGAGTGTAGCGGCTTCGTTTCTGTCTATTATCTATCCCTGTGCATGGATTAGCGCCCAATCGAAGTATACGTAGGAGTTATAAGGGGAATGCCAATCTTTAAACAACCCTCTTCATCGACAGCCTATAGCGACATAATCTATTTGTAACTATCCGTGATTTGAAATTGGAAGTCTCCAGGTGATGAAATGTCTCTCTGGATGTTTGAAATTGGTGATGACCGAAAACAGAGAAAAAAATTTGTAAAAGACGGTCATCGTTGTCAGTTTGTCGGCATGAGGCTGTAAATGTGCCATCAATATATTTTTCTGACTGGTATAGCTTCTCTACTTGAGCAATGGGATAACCTAATGAAATAACTTTGTCTGAGAGTTTTCATTTTAGCATCAAACTAGACAGCTTTAGATAAAATACACCCTTTACTTCATTTGAACAGCAGTCAGCCGTCCAAAAGAACCACGTTACTACTGTAACATTCGTGTTTGCCAGCAGTAAGACAACGGCTTTGTCCTGAAATTATGTTAAAACAGTAACAAATGGAGGCTGACAAGTGTTATAATCTTAAGGAAACCGAATTTGAAATAATTTAGTTCAGAGTTTTCTTTAACACTACCCAATAACAGTAACGGTTTACTTAATATAACACTTTCTGGAATCACGAAATCTTTATACCTCATAAAAGAGCAACATAATATAAGAATATATAAACTGCAATACACTTGGTAGACTATATGCTGTCTGCTACATTAGCTCGAAACGAGGTAACCACCATCAGAACTTTTCGAAAGTTATCTGGATCATTAGTGAACCAGTGCAGGAAGTCGATGGGTCATCAAGTCAGTTTTCTTAATTGGGTTTTAAAACTATTCTCCATACACTTATTGTCAATCAGAAATACCGCAGCTGCAAAACAAAACACTTATTTTAGCCATCTGGACTAGTACACAGTTGACTGAACTAGTCAGTATTTTAGCTTATTCAAGTGTCTTAAACACAAAACTCCTTAGTTTGTGACCACGAAAATTAGTCCTACGTAAATTCGCAAATACCCTCGCCTGGTTTACCAACCGTCCTAAGCCAAAAAAGAGGAGGGTTGGGCTCACAGCTGATAACCCTACCGCGTAGGAAACACCAATTTCTAATAACCCTTGAAATCACAGGGAAAAACACGCACAATCACCAATGAAATTAAGGAGACTCCTCAATTCAACGATGGATGACACCGGCTGATGAAAGCCTTCGGAAAATCAGTCGGGCATCTTCTTCCAATGAAAACAAAAACAATAAAATGAAATGTCTGCACCATGTTTGGTGATGACCGAAAAAGTTGCACAGATTCCAAAAGAAATGAGAATATACAGTATAAAAGTACTCAGAATCTGTTTTGACAAATGGAATAGAAGTCTACCCTCCAAATTGTTGACTAAACAGTCAATAATATACTCCAGTCACTCAGATGGCAACCATGAACACATGACTATCTTGATGTCACAAACAGTATCGACAGCTCTCATGAAGTGGGAGCCAATCTCCTCCAGGATCATCACAGCAAGATTCGACTCAAAAGGAAGGGAAGTTACAATTATACAATACTGTGCTCCTAGAAACAACGCAGATTAATAAGAGAAGGAAGACTACAAACAACTACAAACTGTGGTGAACAAGACTTCAGCCTCATGGCGATGCCAAAATTCTAATAGATGACATTAATACCAGTCACAACGGGAGCATAACATAACTCATCGTGGGTAAGATGGCTCTCAGCCAAAATGAATGAGAACGATTAAGTCTTCGCAGACTTCTGCACCTTTATTGATAGCACAAGTACAAGGATTTCGCCATATGGACACACTAGAACTCAGATAGACCCTTTCTGAACCTGAAGAAGGTCGACGAGCATCTTATTGAACAAAAATTCGAGACGAGGAGTAAACAGAGCTTCAGGCCGTTATGTAGAGTAGGGAACCTTGGAAATCAAATTGAAAGCCTTCAAAAAAGCCAGAGATAAACTGCGATCCAAGTCCAACGCTTATAAACTGAAGGACGAAGATACGAAGAATATCTTCATGGTAGCCATCACCAGATACAAAGCAATATGACCCAGAAAACCTGCGTATAAGAACGCTTCAACTGTCAGATACATGAAAGGAAACCTCTATAGACATCTTAGGCAAGAAGAAGAGGTTACGTAAGAGATGACTCACTACGGACACCTGGGAGTTGATGGAAGAAAAGATAGTGAAGCAGACCATGGAGCAATACAAAGATGAACAACGGAAGGAAAAGCTGAGGATAATGTTAAGTGCGATGAACAAACGAGCGAGCGCTAGGAGAGACAGATGAAAGCTCTAAAACACTAGCAACTGAAGTAGGGTAGCCTATATGTAAGAGATCTCAACACTTTCAAATAATGAGGTCACTATTTAGGAAGATGAAGTCAGTGACAGTGGGGAAACCTGATTAACAAAAAGGTGAAGGAAAGGAAACGATGAGCACCTAAATTCAGTACCAATAACTGGTCCAGAAATATTAGCAGTAAACAGAACTCCTCGTGAACACCAACCGTCTTCCCGGGACATGTTTTGAGGGCTTTAAATTTACTATAAGCCTGGGGAGCAGTAGTTTTAGAAGCTCTAAAAATAGGTGCAGAGACCTCAGTTGGGTGAATAAAATTTTACCTTATCAAACTGTCAAAATCCATCTCTAGTCTATGCAATAACAGGCGAGGAACCATGCTACTATCCACTCCCAGTAAAATACTGAGTCATCCTAAAAAGAATGAAATATACCTTAGTGGGCAAACTAGCAGGATTCAGGAAAAACAAATTATAGGCGAGCCGAATTGCAACACTATACATAACCAACCAAAAGATCTTAGAATGACAGTCAACTGTGCACCTCAACTCTACTGATTTTGAAAAGGCCTTCGACAGAATCAACTGTGAAGTTGACAACCACTTCAACAATGAGAAAACTTTCACACACTTAATTCGACATCTGTATGATGATGCCTCATACGAAGTAGTTCACAACAGAAACCTCATCAAAGCCTTTCAAGTGGGCGGTGAAAGAAGGACATCAACTGTCACCCATGATACTTCTGCTTTTAGCAGGCTAAATCATGCTGCAGACCATGGGGCGTGAGAAGACGGACATTTGTTGAGCTGACAAAAGATCCTAGAAGATCTGGATTTTATGGATGATTTATGTCTCATGTCGCACAGACTGGGAGACATGCCACTGGGAACCAACATCATTTATTATTTATTTAAACGCATAAAAACTTGGTACAATATGGCACCAAGAAGGATGCGCCACACAATAATAATAAAACAATATAGATCAAAAGAAAAAATATATAAGTAGGGAACGGACAAAGAACTTCATCTGGAAGGAAAACAGTCATGCTCAACAAGTTCAAACAGTATTCGTTAATTATCTTCGGGAAGGGAAGAAAGAAGGAAATTGCAACACGTTCGCCATTGATTTCGATTCTTGGCCATATCCGATAACGTTTCGAGCCATCGATTTGAGCTATCTCTCGGACTCCAACCAGGGAGTCGTGACACACCAACTGATGCTAATCTAGCACAAAAACCCTTCATCCCACGGAGCCACGTCATGGACTGACCACCTCTCCGCCTTTTCCATTCCGTCCCAGGGTTAGCGAACAGAGACCTGTACGGAAGCCTCTGTGATGACATTCGTAGCACCTGTCCAAGCCACCGGAGCCGGTGTTTCCAGATGACGACACTCAATGAATGGTAATCTCCGCTGTGCTCAAACACACGCCACCGAACCTCAGAATTACTCACGTGATGATGCCATCGAAAGCAAGCAATCCTGCCGAGACAGCGGCGATCAAACACGCAGAGTCGCCGCACATCCTCAACTTACTCGGAGAGGCCAGGTTTCACAGGCATAGAGCAAGACAGCCCGCACCGAAGCATTGTATACCCGACCTTTGACAGCCAGGCCAACATCGCGACGGCGCCATAGGTGGCTCAAGTTGATGTATGCCACCCTAGCCTTCATTACACGGTTGGAAATCTCATCCGTCACCCCTCCGCCAGCACTCACACAACTACCCAGATACACAAACTTATCAACAACTTCAGGCGGTTCACCCACAAGAATGAGTGCAGGTACAGGCTCCTGACAATCTTGTAACAGTACTTTGGACTTAGACGGCGCAAAGCACATACCAACAAGTTGGCAACAGAGGTAGAGAAGACAAGACTTCATGTGTGTAAAGAAGATAGAGATGAGGAAAATACTTGAGAAATTTAAAGGAACTTACCTCTTTAGTTTACTACAGCAACATCATTTCAACTACAGGCGGCGCAAATAAGGATATCAAAGGCAAGATTGGGAAAGCAAGACGGTACTTCATTACTCTGAAATCACAGTGGAAATCTACAGCACTAAGCACAAGTAACTAGACCTGAACTTCTAATACTAATATCAAATCAGTTCTATATGGTTCAAGTAGTTGACGCGCGTGTCACAGAAAGCATTTCCAACAGGCTGACTTTTATCAACATATGCTTTACCTGGTTTAATACTGAAGACCAAATGTTTGGCCAACTAGGAAAGATGCAACAAGGAACTCTGTAACGCAGAAAACTAACAAAGGACCTAATGGCAGACGAATACACCTGAGGAAATGGAGATGGACTATGTATATGCTGAGAAGATATTTAAATGACACCACACGGTAAACCTTTAAGTGGAGCCCTAATGGAAAACTATGAGTTGGGCATCCGAGCGTGACATCGAGATCATGTGGGGAGATGCAAAGTTGTGAACAAATGTTAAGTCAGCTGAGAATGATGGTAGAGAAGACAGCATGATGCAAATAGACTGTCGAAGGCAAACGTCCTACCCGGAACGCAAGAGATGGGTGAATATAATAATGAAGTTCTCAAAAAGAATAATCCTAAGAAACTAACCAGTAAACGTACAGGGTAAATAGATATTACATAGATAAAAAAAAGAATAAAGCAAGTTATTTACGTACACGAATTCAGTTTGTCATTTTCATCTTATCAATTCCTTGTTTGCACAAGGGTCCATGCTAAATGAGGTGCAAATGAATTTCTGTATTTAGCCATGGGAACACAAATGCTTGCTTCGTGTTCTCCTTGGAGAAAAACATGACGAAAGCTCAGGATGAATATGATCAGCACGTAAAAGAATGGTGCTATTCACTTAGCTACATTACTCAAATCAACTAATTCCGACTGCTACATATGCTCCGCGAAACCTACTAATAGCTTTCGAAATCCCGACTGACCAACCTAGCGAAGTAGACTTTTTACAGAAGTATGTTAATTCAACTTGATACCCTGGAGACACATGGATTTGAGAAGGAAAATTCCGTGAAACTACAATGAAGCACATAAATATAGTTAAAAACTAATTTCTCAGTCATAAATTACGACAGAGTGAATTGACGTATGGTACGTATTATCTAATAAGTAGTTAGATACCTGAAAATGATGCATTGAAGTGATGCAAGATAACACATATTACAAGAGACCTACGTAGGAGTGCTGAAACTTCGTCAGCTACCAGCAAATGGGGGCTGATAACAATCATCGAATAAGTAAGATGGTCAGCAAATTTGTCAGTCTTCAGGTTATTTAACGCGGATGTGAGCTCACCTAGTAATGATGCCGTAGTCAACAAGACAGCCTAATACACGAAACATCACTATATCAATAGAAAGAAACCAACAAACAAAAGCCATACTAGTAAATCTAAACAATGTCCAGTGAGAAAATATAACTGGGACAACAAAATGATTATCAAAAGAATCTCGCCAAGTTAGGTATGGTGCCTTTCCATCACTTGTGCAATTATTACTGAGTCTGGTCTAGCATTTAATTTAGTCCCCAACCAACGTCAGATATCTCAGCTGCGTGTTATCAATTCGCCTGATCCGAGAAACAAACGAGACATTCAACCCATGGGGAACCAAACATGATAATGTCACTTTTTATTTTACATACATGCTTTCTACTTGCACCAATTAATTTTTATGATTCTTTACTACTCTGATGCTTATTTCCAGGCTTTCAAACATATTATAACCACATTCATAGTCGTTAAAAGCTGTACAGCTTTCACATGTTGACAGTAAAAATTAGATTTCCAAAACCACATTTGCCAAATGTATACATGGTTACTCTAGGCTAAGTTCATGTGGATTTCCGGTAATAACTCAAATACAACAATCACTTTTTTCCATTAGAAACCATACTTTAGATAATCAACATAGCTATGAAGCCAGGAATCTGAACAACTGACTCACATCTAATCCCATTAAAAGGATGAATAGCTGAAAACAATGCTGCAAAACTTTTTTGCCAGCTTGACTACCGCTGTTTCTATCAGCTGGTCTCGCGAGTAGACCTAAAGTGTTTGTTGGCAATACGAGACCGTAAAAAGCGCTCGCATATACTAAAGCATCATTTTGATTGGATGAAACCTTTGGAGGGCTGTCAGTTCGAATGTCCTAAACAATGACCTTGAACGAATCAAACTGTTCACTAGTTGATTTTATCGACACAAAAAGCTAAACTGTAAGAATCCTCACCAGTCTAGGCTACCATATAGCGAACCAAGTGAACGAACGACCTATCAGTAAAAAAGCGTTATTTCAACGGAAAATTCTTCAGAAAATCAAAATGCGAAATTTTTTCCTTCACGTTGAAGTTTCTGTAGCAGTGTTTATTTTTACAGTATGGTGTTGCTAGCTTCATGCCTAACCTTCCCTCTTTACCAGCATTATTTCTGGCTTAGCGAGGTATAGGAGTGTGGCCGGGGATTGAACCCCGGACAATGTGCATGGTCGGTGAACGTCCTAACTGCTGTGCCGCCGACGCACTAGATGCTTAGTACTGATGAAAACATACACTTGCTGCAGGGAAAATAATAAAAGTTGTGATGACAGTTCACCTGTCAACCCCTTTAATATTAAAAAAACGGATGTTTGCCTGGAGGTATATAAGCGGCACTACTTACATATAGAGAACATTCCTACATGATATATATATCATGCAGGTGAGTTAGATCTTCGGTGTTTACTATTTGTCCATTTCTATTATAAGGAAAACAAATCCGACAGTGTATTACATACGGTTATCCAACATTCTGCAACAAGTCGTAAGAGAAGGATATCTTCTGGCGTACTGCATGAATCCCTTGGATACAGCCACTGCACATTTTACCGCAGTCAAAAACGGTTACGTGATGCAGAATTTAGTGACGGGGACTTCTGGAAACGTTATTGTGCATCAAGTGAAGAGGTGGCAATGGATAAAACGGGATCTTAGCCTTCAAGTTCAACTGTACAAGGAACATTTGATATACCTACTACTATTAAGACCGTCACTGTTTCACAGATTGAGGAGTGCTCTTTATAAAACACTGAGATGTAAATTTCATTAATGAAGTACTTGTTGCTGTAGCTGTTATTATGGCGCAGTTCTCCGGCCAACTGGTAACGTCGAGAGTGGTACTTTCATAATTTGAAAGATCGTGTCCGAATTCATAACCTGAAGAGAGGAATTCAGGTACTATTGTGAAATGCCTGCTGACATTCATGAGTCACAGTTTATTCAGCATGTAGTGAACACAACAATGATTTTATTTCTGGGCAAATGGAAATGATACCAGAGGATATAACAGTAGCAGTTATGTCAGTAAACGTTTCCAAATACAAATGCTGAAAATGTGGTGAGCACAATTTTTCATCGACTAATCTTTTATTATGCTCATTTAAAGGCCCAGTGGACCTCAGTTGACGGATTTGCAGCGACAGTGTACTACAGTTTCCAAATACAAAATTGTTTCAATCATAAAACTGATTTCTTTCTGCAAACTAAATGAATTGCGCCAAAAAAGACCTTGAACGCATGATGGTATTTGGGTAACAGCACCTGTCATAATAAAAGTATCGCTCAGCTGTGACGACAGGTTTATTGTTGTCGAAAGAAAAATAAGATAATGATAAATTTTTTATTTTTTTATTTACAGCTGGATTCCACACTGTATCTTTGGTACAAGTATGGAATTTTCAGCATGGATATCGGTAACCAAATTTTGCAGGCCGACCATAGATATCAGGTATGTATCGTCAGGGGACCGAACCTCGGACCATGTGCATGGTCGGCGAGAGTTCTAACCACTGTGCCACCGACGCACTGAGATATGAGATGTTGACACAGGTGCATGACAAAGGTCCAGAAAGCTCGGAAAATTCAACAGTTAATAGACATAGGCTCCTAGAATTCCACTTCCACAAGGATTTTCAGAAATTGTGGCAAACTCCGAGGATTTAGTTTCAAGCAAAGCCGAGATGCATGGAAGGATTAGTAGGGATCGCTCATGAAAATCCTAACGTAAAGTAACATGTCCAACAAGTTATCAACGTTAGGTGAGAACTGTTTGCTAGCCAAAATCGTAGACAACAATTTACGTTAATGTTACGTCCTGAATCGGGGTCATGAGGAAAACAATAAAAAAGCTTAACTTTGAGGGACTCAGCAAACTTAACGTGTGCAAGTGGGATTCGCAGATATATGGCCTGACTTTCTAAGAAATGGCCACAGATAGATGACAGAATCACCTTCAACAAGAAAACAACCAAGCAGAAGACGTTGCTTCTCTGCTAACAGTAACGAATAGTGATGTACATAAATATCTATAAATACCTCTTGACTTTCTGAAAAAACCATCTGTTGTCTGGCCCTTGTCTTCTGTCGTTACAGTAGTATTAGTAGTAGCAGTGGTAGTTGGGAAAGTCAGGGATGTTCTAACTATGAGAGCCTTAAGATATTATGAAGATTTTGGATATAATTTAAACAAATGCTGGAATGAAAAAGTAGCCACCAAGCTGTGATATTGCAAAGTGAAAAACATCTACAAATGTCGGCATTTTTTAATAGGTCACAACTTTTTCGAGGGGACTGAAGAAACTGAAAGCTCCAGCGATCCAATATATTGTCAGAGGACTCAAGACCCATAACAATGACGACCATTTTGTTCTTCACCCACATTTTCTGTTTAACAGTTTTATAAAAGTTTAGCGAATGTACTTTACGTAGCTGTTTATCTTTCTGAACTATACTGCTATTTCCTGGTCCATTGTGTCTTTAAATTTTGTATTTTGTTATATTTAGCGTTGTACTTCTTAATGCTGTATTTAAACAGTAAATGACAACAAATAGTCATTGATTTAGACAGCATATTGAATACAAAAAGTGGAGATTTTACTAGAATGCCCGTATACCTATTATTTAAAAATCAATAATTTTATCTTTTGTAAGCTTTAAAGTGACTAAATACCGCACCGACCTCTAGGCAACAGATGATGACTGCATTTTAAGACAAATAATATAAGTCTTGTGGGAAAACAATGCGTCCGGATGATAAGATATTATTGCTTAAAGGTACTACAGTGGTTGTATACATTCGCTATACACATTATGATGCAATGATAATTTTCAACACGATACGAGACAAATGAAATAAACTAAAGGAAAACCATGCGGCTCTCATTTCGTGAAAAGTATTGGGAGAAAACGTCCCAACAAGACTTTAGTCGAATTGTCCTCTTATAGTTATATATCACCACTATACGTCATTTAGCTGAACAAAAATATTACTAGCTTACTTGACAGATATACTGAACTGGCCAGGATCATTTTCGCTTTGCCTCAAAATAAACGCTCCATCTGGCTGCACCTCACGATTGGTGTGCTGATCAGTCTCCAAAAGCCTAGCTTCTGCTTCCCGTCGACTACATTTAGGTACATACCATGGGTGAGGGTACAGTGAAATATAGTTCGCAGGCACCATGCCCTCCTGATTACCTTGTCTTGCCTTGTACCAGTTCGGATCTTCTTCCATCCCGATAATATACAAAGTACTACCTTTCTCAAAACCTAATTCGTCTGGTTCTGTTGGAGTAAACGCATAGTTGGCAACAGCTTCCATGGAACAGTGCTTTCTACTATCTTAAAGGCCAAAACTGAAACAAAATCCAAAGTAAAACCATTACAAGGAATACATAGGCAAAGTACGAAAGATGCTATCAGCTGAGAAATTCAAAGCTGGTAGTAATGATACAAAAAAATACCAAAGTACATTTTGAAGAATATTTCCTTAATTCACAGGTTGATTTGAGACATGCTAGCCATTTAAAGGAGGACTAAACCTATTAGTACAAACTAAGCAGTTAAAGTGATAAAATCTTTGACTCCATTATATTTTTCAGTTTTCTGATAATATATTTGGCACTAAATTAGGACTGAGGATGTATGCAAAAAAATTCAAAGATTAACTAAACACATTCAACTTCAGCGAACGTTTGTAGTGATTAACAACTACGAGTTATTTCTAAATTTTAAATTAAAGTGAACAGGATTTAGTAACCAGTTTGCTTAACATCGCATTTCACTCATACGTGGATAGTATTCGTGTATCTGTAGATGGAATGTCTTCTATGTGCTTTCATCGCATCACTCTGTTATGACAGAATGGGTTTGGTGTGCACAGAAACTAATTCTAGAAACATTTCTCCTGGGAAATATATGAAAAGTGACTGATGACAACAATCATCGAATGTGTCGTTACTGTTATTTCAGCTAGTGCAGACCCAAAACTCTTAGGGACCAAAGAATAAAGTTATATTTCTATAAGTTACAAATAAACGCGGTACTTACCTTGTAGAGTTATTAGGCAGTTTGGTTGTTTTACTAATGACAAAAAAACAGTTAACTATCACTTAATCAATTTGGCTGTAGATGTGATGAGTCAATTAGCACTCAGCACTCAGCTTTAACCTTTCTCAACCTCATTCAACAGCTATATAACGATGTCACATGTCAGATAGTTCACAATGGAAAACTCAAAGAAGTCCTCGAATTGAAGACAGGAGTAAGTCAAGGCTGTCTGTTATCACCAATGATATTCCTGATTGTAGTGGACTGGATTAAGCAACAGACCGTTAAGAAGACTCTAAAACATCTGGACTACGTGGATGATTTATGTCTGTCACACAAATCGATATATATATAATTCAGTTAATCACTATCTAAAATATCATCCGCACACTTGCATTGTACTAAGATTACATAAGCTTTACAGCACAATACTCCCGCTTAACGGTGAACAGATTGTCAGTATTGTCAGTGAGGCAACTAAAATGGTAAATGATTTACCGTACTTATATTACCCACGACTGATTCCCTAACATACGATGACTGGTAAAGTATTCGTTACATAGCTGTAACATGCCAATAACGACTGATGTGTTCTGATAGTTTTTGCATCTGCTTTGTTTTCCTTTAGAGATTCTTAATACATGGAAAAGCTACATACTCATGATCCTCCAAAGCGTAGGATGCTCCTTCCACCAGAACATATCAACCTTTAGTGGCGCTTGTGGGACAGTATGTGTAGACTGTAGGAATTCATGAGACCCGTGAAGCTAGCAATAATTTGTCTTCTATAATCTATGTATGATGCTAGGATGATA